CAGGGCGGCGGCGGCCGAGGGGCTGCGGAGACCCCCAGAGAGCATCCGGCTCAGGAGGGGTGAGACCCCCCAAAAATAACCCCAAAATATCCCCAAAATATCCCCCGAGGGGCTGCGGAGACCCCCCGAGAGCATCCGGCTCAGGAGGGGTGAGACCCCCGAAATATACCCTAAAATATTCTCAAATACACCCCCAAATATCCCCAAGATAATCCGAAAGTATTCTCAAAACGTCCCCAAAATATCCCTAAAATATTCCCAAAATATCCCCAAAATATCCCCCAAAATAATCCCCCAAAATAACCTCAAAATGTCCCCAAAATAATCCCAAAACAATCCCTGAATTAACTGCAAAATAACCCCAAAACAACCCCAAAATATCCCTAAAATAATCCCAAATTAACCCCAAAATATGCCCAAAATATCTCCTCAGGGGCTGCGGAGACCCCCCGACAGCATCTGGCTCAGGAGGGGTGAGAACCCCCAAAAATAACCCTCAAATGTCCCCAAATACACCCCCAAATATCTCCAAAATAATCCCAAAATATCCCCCCAAAATAACCCCAAAACCACCCTGAAATAGCCCCAAAATATTCTCAAAATAACCCCAAAATAGTCCTGAAATATCCTGAAAATAACCCCAGAATATCCCCAAAATAACCTCAAAATATCCCCAAAATACACCCCAAAACAACCCCCAAATTAACCCCAAAATAACCCCAAATAACCCCAAAAATGCCCTGCTGGGTTTTTGGGGTCTTCTGGTGTGTTTCTGGGGTGCCCTGACCCGTTTTTGGGCCCCCCAGACCCCGATGTTCTGGACACCTGGTTCTCCTCCGCCCTGTTTCCCTTTGCTGCTCTGGGATGGCCCCAACAGGTGAGACCCCAAAGATCCCCCAAATATCCCCTCAAATATCCCCAAACATCCCCCAAATATCCCCCCAAATGTCCCCCCAAATGTCCCTGACACCTCCAGGTGACTCTGGGGGTCTTTGGGGGGTCTTTGGGGGTCTCTGAGGTTCTCTGGGGATCTTGAGGGGTCTCTGAGGGTCTCTGGGGTTCTCTGGGGGGTTCAGGGTGGTCTTTGGGGATCTCTCAGGATCTTGGGGGGTCTCTGGTGGTCTCTGGGGTCTCTGGGGGGTTCTGGGGGTTCTCTGGGGATCTCTGGGGTTCTCTGGGGATCTTGGGGGGTCTTGGGGGATCTCTGGGGGGTTCAGGGTGGTCTCTGGGGTTCTCTGGGATCTTGGGGGATCTGTGGGGGTCTCTGGGGGGTTCTGGGGGTCTCTGGGATCTTGGGGGGTCTTTGAGGGTTTCTGGTGGTCTCTGGGGTCTCTGAGGATTTTGGGGGGTCTCTGGGGGTCTCAAGGGATCTTGGGGGGTCTCTGGTGGTCTCTGGTGGTCTCTGGGGTTCTCTGGGGTGTTTTGGGGGACTCAGGGTGGTCTCTGGACATCTCTGGGGTCTCAGGGGGTCTCGGGGGATCTCTGGGGTTCTCTGGGAATCTTGGGGTCTCTGGGGGATCTCTGGGTGGTCTCTGGGGTGTCTCTGGGGGTCTCTGGGGTTCTCTGGGGGTCTCAGGCCCCCTCTGACCCCCTTTTGTCCCCCTTTTTGTCCCCCCAGACCCCCGACCTGCGCCGGTTCTTCCCCTCCTCGCTGCTGGTGACGGGCAGTGACCTCCTGTTCTTCTGGGTGGCCCGGATGGTCATGATGGGCCAGCAGCTCACGGGGCACCTGCCCTTCCACCAGGTCCCTAAGGGGGTCCCTGATGTCACCTGGGGGTCCCTGGGGGTCCCCAAACATCCCTGGGGATCCCCGATGTCCCCCGAGGGTCCCCAAACCCTGGGGGTTGTTGGTTCTGGCCGTGCTGGGCCAGCAGCTCACGGGGCACCTGCCCTTCCACCAGGTCCCAAAGGGGGTCCCTGATGTCCCAGGGGGGTCCCCAAATGCCCCCAATGTCCCCTGATGTCCCCAAGTGTCCCCAAATCTGCCTCCCACGTTCCCGGGGTCTTGTTGATTCTTGGGGTTTTTGAGGGTTCCTTGTTGGTTCTGGGGGTCCCTGAGGGTTCCTTGGGGGTTCCTTGTTGGTTTTGGGGGTTCCTGGGGGTCCCCAAGTGGCCCCTGGGGGTCCCCAAATGTCCTCAATGTCCCCAAGTGTCCCCTGATGTCCCCTAATGTCCCTGAGGGTCCCCAAACCTCCCCCAACAATCCCCGGGGTTTGTTGGTTCTGGGGGTTCCTTGTTGGTTCTGGGGGTTCCTGGGGGTCCCCAAGTGTCCCCTGGGGGTCCCCGATGTCATCTGGGGGTCCCCAAACATCCCCGAGGGTCCCCAAACCCTGGGGGTTGTTGGTTCTGGCCGTGCTGGGCCAGCAGCTCACGGGGCACCTGCCCTTCCAGCAGGTCCCAACGGGGGTTTTGGGGTCCCTTGTCTTTTTGGGGGGGGGTCCCTTGTCCCTTTTGGGGTGTCCATCCTCCTTTCCTAGGGATCCCTTGTCTTTTTTGGGGGTTTCCACGTCCATTTTGGGGGGTTTCTTATCCCTTTTTGGGGTCCATCCTCCCTTCCTGGGGTCCCCTTGACCTTTTTGGGGGGTCCCTTGTCCCTTCCTGGGGATCCCTTGGCCCTTTTTGGGGTCCCTTGTCCCTTTTGGGGGGTTCCTTGTCCTTTTTGGGGGGTTCCTTGTCCCTTTCTTTGGGCTCCCCTGTCCCTTGTGGGGTCTCTTGTCCCTTTTAGGGTCCCCTTGTCCCTTTTGGGGTCCCTTGTCCCTTCTTGAGGGTCCCCTTGTCCCTTTTGGGGGGTCTCTTGTCCCTTCCTGGGGGTCCCTTGTCCCTTAGCCCTTTTTGGGGTCCCCTTGTCCCTTTTGGGGGGTTCCTTGTCCCTTTTAGGGTCCCTTGTCCCTTCCTGGGGGTCCCTTGTGGGGTCTCTTGTCCCTTTTTGGGGTCCCTCATCCCTTCCTGGGAGTCCCTTTTCCCCCTTTCCGAGGGTCCTGCTCCTTTCCTGGGTGCCCCCCTCCCCTTTTTAGGATGCCCTGTTCCCCCCTGGGCCCCCCTGCCCCAATTTGGGGGTCCCACCTCCCCAATTTGGGGGTCTCACCCCCCTTGTTGCCCCCCCAGGTTCTGCTGCACTCCCTGGTCCGGGATTCCCGGGGCCGGAAAATGAGCAAATCCCTCGGGAACGTCGTCGACCCCCGGGACGTCATCGGGGGGGCCACGCTCCAGGTACCCCCCGGGACCCCCCTGAGCCCCCAAAGAGCCCCCCCCACCTCCAGGGGGTTGTTTATTGTAGGGTCTCCCCCGGGCAGGAGCTGCAGGAGAAGCTGCGGAGCCGCGTCCTCGACCCCCACGAGCTGCGGGCGGCCACCGAGGGGCAGGTGGGACCCCCCAAAACCTGCTCCTGGGAGCCCCAAAACCCACCCTAAACCTCCCCAAAACCTGCCCCTGGAACCCCTAAAACTCTCCCCAAAACCCGACCCTGCGACCCCCAAAAACCTGACCCTGAGACCCCCAAAACCCGCTCCTGGAACCCCCAAAACCTGCACCTGGGAGCCCCGAAACTCTCCCCAAATCCCAGCCCTAGAACCTCCAAAACTTGGCCCTGGGACCCCCCAAAACCCACCCCTGGGACCCCCAAAACCTGTCCTTGGGAGCCCCAAAACCCACCCTAAACCTCCCCAAAACCTGGCCCTGAGACCCCCCAAAACCTGCCCTAAACCTCCCCAAAACCTGCCCCTGGAACCCCCAAAACTCTCCCCAAAACCTGATCCTGGGACCCCCAAAAACCTGGCCCTGAAACCCCCAAAACCTGCACCTGGGAACCCCAAAACCTGCCCTAAACCTCCCCAAAACCTGGCCCTGAGACCCCCCAAAATCTGCCCCAAACCTTCCCCTGGAACCCCCAAAACTCTCCCCAAAACCCAGCCCTGGGACCCCCAAAAACCCGGCCCTGGGACCCCCAAAACCTATTCCTGAGACCCCCAAAACCTGCCCCTAAACTCTCCCCAAAACCCACCCCTGGGAACCCCAAAATCTGCCCCGAGACCCCCCAAACTGCCCCCAAACCCCCCCATTTCCCCCCCAAATCCCCCCCATTCCCTCCCCAAACCCCTCCAATTCCCCCTCAAGCCCCT